GATGATTCGCGGACTGATGCGTCATTCGTTGCGATCGTCGTCATCGACATCGGTTCAAGTGGTGTTGACCCGAGCTCGTTCCCTTGCATCTTTGCGACTCATTATCGATTCGTGGGAACACCATTCCGATCTCATACCAATCTCCATCACGGTCGACACGATAACGCGAGAAGAAAAAAATTGCAATGGCACGTGCGAGTTTGTATTAAAATAACGAAGATTAAAATAATGAGAGAAATTATATAAATAATTTATACTTTCTCGATTTTGATTTCTGTTTTTAAATTTTGCGCGTTCTCCGCAAGTTAATCGAAACAGGATTATACATTGAATATGTTTAGATTGTTTTTGTGCCATGCAAGGTTTGCGGAGTTCGATTCGAGACTCTGTTTACGCTTGGCTGGCTACCGCTCCTCTATGTTTCCCTCCACGCAGTAAAAGGAAAGGAGAGGAGAGACGTCGTCTCAAGAACGCGGGGGAACGTGTTTTTGTTTCCATCGCGGCCTGCTTTTTCAGACAGACGATACTTTACCGAAGAATTCAATGAAGAATTACCGCATAATCTTCAACCCCGAGCGTCCAGTTTCCCTACATGGCCCTACATTTTTATAAACTTTTATCACTCGCTTTTACATTAAAAACACTCGACGTCGTAAGTTTCTGCCTGTTGGAACGCCGTGTATGCACTTGAGAAGCGGCAACGACTCGAAAAAGCTGAAGGATTTGCCGATGGCAGTTTTACTCGAAAGAGGTTTGTGAAAAAATTCTACTAATACACATCAAAAACAAAATATTCTTGATCCACATTCAATAGTGATTTATCAGCACCTATCATACTTTGCAACGACTAACTGCGAATTTTTACTTCAAATAATCTCTTTGCAAAGAGAGTTACTTTTATTCTTTGTCTTAATGTGTATATCACCCCACTTATAAAAATTAATAACATTACAATTAATCATTTATACAACATAAATTTAAATATCTTTTGTCTGTTACTTTGATGCAATGTCATGTGATAATTCACACAAATTCATTGCATATATATGTTGTTTAAAAAATGAGAAACGAAGCGAAATCGGGAGTAAGCACTTATGCAAGTGGAGCAGCGGTGTCATGTCATTTGCAGAAATACGAGTTTTTCAACTGGTCATAAATAGAACTAGGCCGCACTTTTATTTTTTGCCATGCTAGCTCACTATTTCTAATGTAATTTTCTATTTGATTAACAATAAGTAATATAACAAACTAGTTGTATGTAACAAATTATATAAAAGAAAACTGCCAAATCTTTTCTTCTAATGTAAGTTATTTTTAATATTCAATTTAAATGTTAATGAAACTTAAAAAATCTATTTTATACTTCGACAAAAGATTTTGAAGCACATTTGGAGCTTCAAAAAAAAAAAATAATAATTTTGCTCAATAGATGAATTCGAATTAAGAACGGATTCCGAGGAAAACGTTTGCAATGTCTTATCTCCTTCTTTCGCGCAGCAATACTGCCGCTTTAACAAAAGTTCCAATGGACGACGTCGTACCATTGGCCTCGTTCCCGACCAGGCGCTTTGGATGAGCCAAACTGATTAAGGTTTAATTAACCGTTTAACAAGATATATTTAACTTCTACATGAGAAAAAGAAAAAGAAAGAGACAAAAAGAGACCGAGAAAGAAATCAAGAAACGCCGCCGCATATTTGGCACAAAAATAAATACACATGTAAAGTGTGCTTTTTCTTCTCTTTTTCTTTTTGTTTTCTTATCTATCTTTTTTTATAACATAAAATTTAGGACATCATCGCAATTTTTATTAATTGTAGATAAAATTAAAAATAATTTTCTGCTTGGGAATGAAACATGTTTCTCGACGTGCTTTAGTCGAGTTCCCGTCAACATCGCACACTTTATCTCTCGTTCGTAGAAATAAAAAGATGCAGAGAAATTTAACCGAGCCTTGTCGGCAGTTCCTTCTAATTTGCTTATCGTAAGGGCAGTCGGCTTTTCTTATCACAGTGCTGAGATACGCAATTTCTTATCTACCGAGTGATAATTACGCCGGTGCTCAAAGACACACAGGTGAAATGCACCACGTTCCGTGCATGTTACACATACACGTGATAAAAAAAGGCGTATTTGTACAGGTTAGACCTGAGAGACTATTATTATTTTAAAATAAATATCTATATATTTGTGTATTAAATTTTGTTAATTTCGAAAAATAATTTCAAAATTTTGTTCCAGAATTTCTACTCTAAAAATATAAACTGAATTTAAATATTGTATATCAAGAAATATCAGTATATTTTAATTAAGTAAAAGATACCCCATATTTTGTCCCAAAATAATTCTTTACTATACGCAATTGCAATGCACTGTGTTGCAAAAATCGGGGGCTTAGGAGCGCGACGGACATTCAACGAGTTGAATCGAGAGTGAGTTGAGAAAGCGCGATTCATAAAAGCATTAAAGTTTGCGTAACTAAAATGTTCGTTCAGCTAAGCGAAACAAATAAGTTTGCTAAATGAATAGATAAATTCACTAAACTGAAATCAATGCAAGTTGTATGTATTAAAAAATTTCTAAAGTGTATTTGCAATTTTTGAATTTATCGGACGCATATTTGTTATATTATAAAATATAAATTTTTATTAAAATGCTATTTCTAATTAATAAAAATTTAATTTTAAATGTTTATATGTTATTATGATTAATGGTTAATATAATCAATATTCATCAATTATACAATGCATTCTTCACAAATATGCAAATTAAAAACTGTGTAAAAAAAATCAAAACCTATGCATTTATATTTTCTTATAAAAATATTTCTAAATAATTCTAATAACCAGTTCAATAATTTCTAATAATTCTTGAACTGAAATGACTGTTTTACTTACTGGAAAAAATTCGCTTTGCAAAGTAACAAATATGTATCACAAAAGACACACAAATTCACATGTTATAAGATAAACATTACAGAAATTAAAAATTCCATTTACATGTGTATTATCTTAATTGTTGCTAAGAAAGATTTCAGTAATTAAAATTAACTATGCCTGTATAAATCTTATGTATAAATCATATGTGATATGATTTTTCGTAACCAAGTCACATTTCAACTTAAGACACTTGTCAATTTATTCGCATTTTATTTGGAATACCATCAGTTCGCTTAACTGACAATAAAGTTTGGCATATACACATACAAATTTTCTTCTTTAAAAGGAAGATTTTTCTTTGTCAATAGCGAGACTTTCAAATGTATAATCTATGTGTATAAATTCTAAAAAAATGTATAAATGTGTAAAAAAAAGACAAGTTACATGTACGAACCTCTTTCCTCGATGACGTCCGCTTGGTCGATCCACACCGTCATGAAGAGCAGATAAATCTGAAGGATCCTGGCTGGCTCCATCCTGCGTCCTCGTGATCCAGGAAGATCGAGGAAACTCCGAGCACCTCACACAATCAACGACGCATATCTACAGCACCAACACCACACTCTCGAATCGCGCGAATCTCGGCACCTCTTAAATTTCGCGTCTCTCAATGACAATGCGAACGTATAGTTTCACATTTAAAAACGCGACAATTTCACATTTGGAAACGTTGAAGCGACAATGCTATTATCCGTTACTATGTTTTCAAACTTACGTTTCGCGCGCCTCTGTAAGCGGAACAATCGGTGTTTGAGGTTCAGTTTAACGGTCGAAACATTGCGACCAACCCTTCGTGTAAAATCTTTTTCAACTTTAATCCTCCGAGCGCTGCGTATTTCAGAGCATACGTGACACAGCGCTGAGTTTCTTTTGGTTAACTTTTTGCGACAATGATTGAACAATGACAACTCTCACGAAGCACCACACTCGCGTTAATAATTAAAATACTTGACACTCGTGAAACACGACGAAGAACGTATACGATGGATTGGAAATGCGCGAAAATGTTTTTTACGATCGGTTACGTTCATGTATACAAGACGCGCGCGTACTTACTCCCACGTCGGTCGCACCAAGAATGCACACTCGACCTAGAGGTCCGTGCTCCAGCTAGTCGCGCGACGCTTCCGAAGACTTACGAACGCAGTCGAAGATTGTCGAGAATCAAACCGGCAGTCAGCAGGATTGTAAACATTGAAATATAGAACATGCTGAAAGGATTCTTTCCTATAACAGACAATAGATGGCAATATATGTGTATTGCATAATTCGATCATTTTAATGGCGTTTTCGAGTGAACGGATTTTAATCAACCGAAAGTTGATTAATGATGTCATTGCATCGTTTCCACCAATAAAAGACTTGAATTAATAATAAAATAATTGATTGATTAAAATGATTAATTATTCCGCGATGGATAAAAATCCGTTCATCCGAAAACGCTATAAATAAGTATGTTATTATTTTTAATTAATTTTTCTAAAAAAGTTTTTATTTAAACTCTCCGAAGAGGGATTCATATCTCATAAATAACAAAGATTAAAGCGAGACATATATAAATATCATATGTTTTGTATATGAAATAAAAAGAAATTCACGGTAGAATAAGATTGTCAAATTTTTACATGTTTTTTTTATTTTGTTTCTCTTTCCTGTTCTTCAAATATTTTTTTAATATAAAATAAATCTTTATATCTTTGCAGAATTAAGTATTATAGCATTGTAGCTAGCAATATTCACAGAATTTGTTTAAATGCATATGTCATAAACATATAACAATTATTTTACAGCATATTTCAATAATCTAATTCATGTAATGAAAGAACACGTTCGCGTGTTTAATAACTATTAATTGTATTAATTCTTGCAATGTACTATATTTTTTCTAGTTCTATTCTTTTTAGTTTATCTGTCTAACATGTTATAAAGTTCAATGGTCTATTCAGTTATCAAACATCTATCTAAAAACACAATCTATGCTCTATGCAATTTTCGGTTAGTAAGTTTCCAACCCTGCGTAAAACCCTGCGTAAACGTTAGTATTAAACGGTTTAATGGCGCGTCGGTTTGGTACGCAAAATTTTCCGTAATTTATCGCGTATTTTGTCGTACGTGAGTGCAAATTTTTATCAGAAATTTCGATTAAAGTGACGAGCAAATTCGGGAACGTATCAATTAGATTTAGATGTTCGCGATTAACGGCATTTCGTCGATCGATTGATGCTGTTAAGATGTGTGAATTGTTAAGATGTGTGAATCTAGTTACAATCTCAGTAAGGTATAGATACATACCTACGGTATAAAGTACAACGTATTTTATGTTTGAATTGTATCATGACGTATTAAATTTACGATGTAAATCCGATTTTTGGCAGTAAAATATACGAAATGATTTTGGCTCGATAGTAATAAATAATAGATAATAGATAACTCATAACTAAATGTAGGTTTTATTTCAGATATTCATCGATTTTTGAATGAAGCTGATATGTAGAGTGTCGACCGACAATATAAAGACGGAATCTGTAAGGATGAGAGCAGACTGCAGCATGCAAGTTCGTGTTTCAGATATTCATCAATTTTTCTGGAGTTGATCGCCAACGATTTCAAAGCAAAATCTACAGCGGCTGGAACAAATTGCAGCGTTCAAGTTGGTGAGTACAATAATACATATATACAATTGTGTAATAATATATGTATACACAATACAAGTGCAGTCAGTGCTTGTATATCTTTTCTCGTTTTCTTTCTTGTACTGTCTTACGCCATTACTTTGCTACGTGATCATGTGTAACAGAGCAAACTAGTTAATTTTAATTAATTTATTATTTATCTATTTAAATTACTTTTTATACATAATAATTTCTTGGTATTAAATGTTAACTGTATAAATTAAATATTATAAACAGCATTATTACTACTATCATAAATACAGATTCACATTTTATGAATTTTTTAGTATATGCAAAAATTTGCAAAAGAATTATTTAAATAATGTCAATTTTTAATTATATTAAATAACAATTATAAATTAATAATAAAATTTTCATATTTTTATAATGAACTTTTGAATGAATTAATGAAATTTTATAATGAAATGATAATTACACAAAAATTGCTGAAAATTAATATACAATGAAGGAAATTAAAAAGAGTGCTCGACAAGTATTTTATTTACGAGAGAAAAACGGATGTGCGTGTGTGGCTGCCGATTCCACGAAAAGGTTAGTCGTTTTATCGTTATAAAAATCATCAAGAAGACTGGTTTCTTGTTGCCATTGCATGCACGTATGGTGTGCACGTGTGATAGCGTACCTGAGAAGAAAACTGAAAGAGAAAGGAGTGAACAATATAAATATTATATCACATATTATTTTGCTCCGAAAAATTCTCGTTACAATTTGTTTCTGTTTCTAATATTGAAGCTTTATATATATAACATTTCTCTTACTATTCTTATAAGCAATTTGCAATCTCGCAAAAGAACATCAATCATTGATTACACACTATAAAGTCTAATTTTATCAACTTGTCATTAAACAGTCTATTATAACAGAAATTGCTACATCGAAAACTATATTTAGAGTATCATAAATCTAAAGCGTTCTGAATAAAAAATGCTATAATCTCTATTATAACTGATCAAAGCAAATACATTTTTATATTAAATTATCACAGCAATTGAAAGCAATGATTTATTACATGTGTTTCACATTGTTTTAATCAATAATGCATAATTCTGAACAAAGCCAGTTTGTTAGTTATCTAAATGTCAGAAGATGATGCATGTGTGAAACATTTTATTGAGCTGTCTGATTATTTTAGCACAGATATAGAAAGTATATAAAGCTATTGGATTTTTTATCACCATCTGTGCTAAAATAATCAGACAGCTTAAAAAAACGTTTCACATATACATCTTCTAATTATCATTTAGATAATTGACGAACTAGCTTTGTTCAGAATAATACATCATTGATTAAAACAATGTGAAACACGTGTGATTCAGCTTTCAATTGTGCTGCGATAACTTAATATAAAAATGTACTTGTTTACGTTGACCGGTTATAATAGATTATAGTATTTTCTATTTAGAACACTTTAGATTTATGTCACTCTATATATAGTTTTTGATTCAGCATTTTCTGTTATAATAAACTTTAATAATAAATTGATAAAATTAAAAAAAAATAAACTGACAGATTAATTATAAATAAATAAAACTATTGGACTTTTTACATCTATGTTAAAATAATCAAACAGCTTAATTAAATGTTTCACAAATGCATCATCTTCTGGCATTTAGATAATTAACGAACTGGCTTTGTTCAGAATTATTCATCATTGATTAAAACAATGTCACTCTTATATCGCGAATACACGTGCGTTCTCAATGAAAATAACATTTGATATTCTCATTATTGCTGATGGGTGGGTCAAAATGTCATACTGTTCTGAGATCCTAGTAATTTCATGGTAGCAAAGATGTTTTAATTAAGCTGGTTCCCTGACTCTTAATAATGAAATGCTATCACGTGTATCTCGAGGTTTAATAACGGTCTTCATAAAAATGCAGATGTCTTCATCATGCGTTCGCCGTTAATTTCTTTTCTTCCCTTTTCAAATCGTTACTCTCCCTAAAGTGACAGTTCCCAAGAGGGATCCGGGAACCGCGGTTAGCATTTCGCCTTCAGCTTCTTTTTGTACGGAAAAAAAAGATTCAATATGTGAATCTTTTTTTAGTAATGGATTTAGTAATGGATTTAGTAATGGATTTTTATGTAGATAATTGATATAACTATATAATTTGCTTTTGATTATCAAAATATTTTGCATCTTAATGAATCAAATAAATTATTTTTTTCAAATTATATTTATGTACAATTATATACAATTATATTTTAAAATGTTTCACTTTAATTAAATAATAATTCAATTTGATAAAAAGTGTTTCAAAGACATAATATTATATTTTGGAATATATAAAGTTAGAGATTCAGAACCATCAAGTTTTATTCTTTTTACTTTTGATATAAAACGTCTTATCTCTGTAGACAGGTGGAATAAAAGGAGGAAAGACTTGAAACAATTTTATTTTTCTTTGTCTCTGTTTATTATAAATAACAAGATGCATATTCGGTGCGCATGTGTCATTTAACTTGTATAATATATTTATATATATATATATAGTCAAGCTCCAGCTAAGTTTATTTCGCTTACTGTACTATGTCTCATTTATGCTGAGTGATTAATACACTTCTCTACAGTTTGTTTCGCGATGTCGCGTGGAAAATTAGAAATTTCATTCGAGGACGAACTTTGCGCGTCGTGCGGCGAAGGAAAATCGTGTTATCCGCGCGAGGTAGAAATAGATGCTGAAAATCGATCTGCTTTTTCGATCGCGTACGAATAAATCTTTTAAACCCTTCGAGACCAGGTACATCACCATGCTTTCTTTCAAGATATACACTTCGATTTTGATGCGCTCATTAAAATGCAGATACAAATCCGATAAATTTTTTGTTGTTGAAAAATTGTTTAAAAATTTATCATATTGATATGCGTCTCGCGAGTAACATGGACAAGTATTTGGATTAAGATCGATCGACGAATAATTTGATGATATCGCACATTGGACTTGGTCGATATGTCTAATTAATTTCAACAATAAGTCGATGTACAAATTCAACAAATTCGTTGTCTTGAGCGTTTAAATTCGTGCCAATAATCATCGTGTCTGTGGGGGAGTTTCTTTATCTGGAAACGAAGGGCGGAGCATCGGTAGTCCTTAGAATGATACATTATTCGTTTATCAGCGTTCGTATTTTAGCAACGTTTAATGCGTGCATTCCTCTCAATCAATTCGTATCGAGCCTCACAATTCTAGCTCTATACTCTCAATTATCGTTGCCTCAATTTGCGATAATCTAAATAATGCGACGTGTATATATTTATTATATATTCTTATAAATTCTCTTTTACATGAAACCACTAAACTTTTTCTGTCCCTCGAGATGTCCATTGTTTCGACTTCCTTCGTCATTCTCGCGCATCTTTTTATTAGCTACCTGCCATGAAATAAGAAAAAAAACTGCATAATTCTTCCGATATGCATATTATACGCAATTAATATCCAAAATGTTTCAAATTAGCAGATTTTGTATAGAAAATTTGTTTAATGTTAAGTCGGATGTAAAAATTGCCGATTTTGTCAGAATTATTTTACCATTTATTTTCCTTAATTTAAAATCGTCGTACTTTGTCGATTGAGCACACGCTCGATTAATTTAATTAGGGAAGTTACAATTAATTTAGAAAGAGATATGTTGATGCCGATCACACACATTGTGAGCGCGATACTTCGAGAGAAGACGCGCGAAAAATAAGGAATTTCGGGGGACGCACTAGAATCATATGCATAGAAAATTAAAGGCGTTTAAACTTTCGAAAGCTACGTACGACATCGTATAGCAGGCACGTCTTATCATATCACGCTAGAGGCTCAAATAAGCCCAGTAAAACCACGTAGAAGTACCGAATCCGACATTTGTATTCCTTACTTCTTATAAAGACTAATTATTTATCTCCCTCCTTTTTCAATTCCATTCTTACGCATATGTATTCGCATACATATTCTTTTTCTCATACGGGCAGTCTCTTTTCTTTATTAATTGAAGAAAGGGTGCGAACGGTGCTTAAGCGCAAACAAACGAACAAATTTCCATTTCATTTAAAGTGGCAGGAATTGTAGGTACGTTATTAGAGACATCCCCATTCAAGAAATACTATCCACGATAGAGACATTGAATCTTGTTTCACGAAATTGTCGTCGTGAAGAGATTACTGAAAAGTTGTAGTTGATCTTTTGCTTTAAACTCGTCGATTTTGCCATTAGACACAGAACATATATATATAAGCGATTCATCAAGACTACTTGCTCTATCTAATAACCAATCTCGTTATCATTTATATTCATACTAATGTACGTTCATTACCATTTTATCCTTGTTATCTCGAAATCTTAAATGATCGTAAATAAATTGGCTTATGTAGAATAGCAAAAAAAAAAGAAGAAAAATATATTGCAAATAAGTAGGCTTACATGGAACAGATTGATCTATTTGTTCAATCAAATAGATGTGAATGGTGAAACTGAAAAATATGACGACAATCATGAACGAAACAAAACTATTTTTCACGAATTGACTTTCCCGAGTAATGTACATAAAAAATAGATTTGTTTCTATTAGCAAAATCTGCAGGACTAAGAATACTTTTCAATTTATTATAATGTATCGCATAATGAATACATTCGACGTTATTCCGCAAACAACTATGCAAATCACCAAAGGTTTCTACTCCCTTAATACGATTTTCTTTTGGCTTGTTAGGAACACGAAAAACAAAAATGCGCGTTTCTCTAGGATGTATTACTGTTAGATTTTCTTCACACCTTCTTCAAATGTTTCTTCATTCAAATCAGTATTGCATAAATTTTGTTTAAATTAATACATATGAGTTTCCTTCCTTTAAATTGCGAGAGAAATCTTTTCCTTTTTCCCTTGCTTTTATTGTATTAATGTGTTATTATTGTTCGAATTATTACGTATTTATGAAAAATGCGTAATCGCAATTTTGCCGATAACTTATGTATATAGAAATACAATTACGAAAATAAGTTAAAAAATGAAGGGAATAAAAAGTCCCTTTACTTTTTTACTTTTCTTCGTCTGTATTTCAAACATTTTTTAAAAATCGGATAATAATATTGAAATATCCACAAGAGGAATGTTGATTAAAATTTAAAAAATATTTTTTTTTTCATTCAAATAAACATTTTTTAGACAACAACCGTAAACATCTAAAACGATTGCAAACGTTGTCGTTAATAAGAAATGAACGATGCGTTCTATAAAATCGCTTTGCACCGTTCATTGAGCCTCTCAAAAAATGGAAGAGGCTGAAATTCAACGTATATCCGATTGTACAACAATAATATTAGTCTCTTATTTATCCTTAATAAACCGATCGTGCTTCGCAGCAGGTAACATCGCATACCGGACATGTATGTCATTTCAATAAAACATCTGAGCTCTTAAGTAGTAATTTCCATCTTTAAAACTCGTAACTTATAGCTATTTAAAATTAAACATTTATTATGAGCGCGTGTGATTAAGCGCAGATTACGATTTAAAACAAACGTGATACTAACGATAGCTTCGGAAAGAAATCAGCGATTAGTGCCGCGAGGTATCGTTGCCCGACGAAACCTTCCTAAATTATGGATGTCCGAGTCGCGTCATTTTTTTCCGATTATGCTCATTTGATTGCGTAACGAAAAACGATGGTGATAGTGAGGTTCGGCGATAATGCTTAACAAACGACTGCCTCCGAAATCGGATTCTCCGTGATATGTATGGTCGCGGTAGGCCAGTCGATCTTCTTGCTACAGATGTGATTTAGTCCTTCCAACGAAGCCAATCTGAAGTCTGCCATTTTTAACGGCGACAGCGGGGCCACTGTAAATGAAAATAAAGGAAACATAGTATTCTCAACATCGTCCCGCCACCCTTAACCACGCCTTGAAGAGGCTGTAACGCGCATGTATTTCCGCTCGTTCGTTCAAATTTTGTCACGCAAACATAGAAAATCGCCGAACGAAGGATATAAATAAACGAAAGCGCACATGCAAAGTAAAAAGAGAATCAGGTGTACTGTTGGTGGATTGTCGTGTGCGCATAGCGGAGACGTTGTGGGCTTAGCTGGACTATTTACTATTCTATATTGCCCAGGTGCGAGATTTGCTTTGTTCTGCCTTCCAGTTTATTTGAAAAGCAATTTTACAAAAAATGTTCGAGGTATGAATGTGTGCTGTTGTAAAATGAGAATTAGTTTTTTTTGTTTTTTTTTTTTTTCCTTTTATTTACTATAAATACTTCAATTTAGATCACCTGCATCAGAATGTAGCGTAACAGGTCGGTCCCTGTTAATATTGCATACAGATATTACGTTGCTATCGACAACTATGAAACAGAAGAACTTAATCGGTCAGACCGATTCATCATAAATTACATCACCGGGTATTAACAATGTTTGTTATACATTTGAATTCTTTTTCGTTTCGAGATTTCTCGGTGGTGGCTTACAAAATGTTCGCGAAATAAAATAAATACAAAAATTTGTGCAAATGCGAAATAAGTGTAGAAATAACATAATATTTTCACCGGACATATGCGAAAAAGTTTAACAAGACGAAAGTTATAAACTGTCATCATTTCTGTCATCACCAGCGTAGATCAGTGCGGTATTAGGAGAATTGTTAGAGTGATTAGTTGACGTTTGCTTTTTTTTTTTTTTCGAGAACTTCCAGGGTCCAAGGTTGCCCAGGACGTATCAGTTAGTACCTCTCATATCTTCCGAAAAAAGTTTGAATTCCGACTTACTTAACATATAGACGTGGCCTAATTGACCAACTGCGCGCTCGACTCTCCTTGCGGCCTTCAATTCCTAATTACAATTACCTTCGGGTGTTGTCGGCTTCACAGGCTTCCGTGGGGATCTCACCACTAAAACGTATAAAGAAAACAAATTCTGTTTAAAAATTATGAACGTAACGTCGTTAAATGGCGCACTCAATTTATGGCGCTATTGTTATCTTTAAAGCACTATTTTTGTGCAAAACACTGATAGACCAATTGTTTTTTTAGAAGCTATAAGTGGGATATAGCAAAATAACGGTGCGATAATTGATTCATCTAACATATTGCTGGAAATTGTGTTTGCTGTAATATGCAAAGTTTATTTAAAATATCTATTGCCTCTCGACTCAGATTTATATATTGATGCCAGGTTAAACGAAGAATTTATAATCATCATCAATTTTCAAATAATTAACAAATTAATAAATTTTTAAAATTAATCCTTAAGAAGCATTTGACAGAGAGATAAATAATTAACAAGAGATTAGAGAGACTAAAAACTAAATAATTTTATCTCTAGTCTCTCGTTAATTATTTCTAATTTCATATAGTTTTGAATTAAAAATAATCGTAAAGTAAATCTGAGTCGTTCTCAGACAACAAACAGTCAAATAGAGTGTTTATTAATCTAAATCTTATAATACATCTTATTTTATAAGCGTATTGTCGTCACACAACACAGGCGTTTGAAATTGTCCGGATAAAAAAAGAAAAAAAACAAGCAAATAAGCTGAAACTAATTTTACTACTGTTCAGCTGAAATTGTTATAATATATACATACCACTCGATCGATCCAAGACGCGTGGGAAATAAAGGCGCAAGTCGATGAACATGTATAATACTTTTTCTTTTTGATTTTGCCTTATTTTTTTTAAGCTCAAAATATTTTCCAGCTCAAAAGATTAGTATGGTGGCAAAATTCACAGACGAATTCACAAGCAACCTTTTTTAAGTCATTTTTTTTTATTTATCAAGTCGAGCCAGTGGCTTTTCAACGAATAGAGGTACATGTTCGAACATGTATTTGAATCTCGATGTAATTAGGTTACTTTCACTATTCGTTAGCACAGAGATAAAGCAGTTTACTTGTCAACTTGTTTCACGATCAGCATTATCGCGATAATGAACACACAATATCAACCTTGTTACATCCGGATTCAATTACGTCTAAATATTGCGCCACTGATGTACAACATGGAAAGTCTACTTGTATTATAGCGACGATTGCAACAATAATAGTTAACGATGATGACAATAATAGAAACAACAGATTTATTTAACGCGATAACCTGAATTTTATCCTATTATTCGCAATAAATTACTTAACTTTATATTAATGAGTAAATAAGAAAGGATTGGAAATAATGAGCGAAAGATATGACATATGGAATTAATTGCCAAATTATATAATCAGATCTTAAAGTACATATTTTATCTATGTCAATTTGTGAGAAAGCATAGTGTCCTGTGGTTTTAGAGTGTTTTTGTGATTAAAAAGCCGAACAAAATGATAAATCTGAATTAATTAAAAGGAACACTGTTCAACAAATTATAATATATAAATTTTTAATATTTTTATATGTATATAAGAGCACAATAGTTCTACAGCAGAAAAATACGCTGAAATAAAACATGTTTGCAACGATTGATAACATTAAAAGAAAACTCAATATCTTAAAATTCTAAGACATTAATTTATAACAGCAACTATTTTATAAAGTTTTAATTTAATACATGTTTACTTAGAGAAAACATGCACTTAGACATTACGCGAATGCAAGTATTGATAAATTTTATTTAATATTTTTGAAGATTGAGTTATTTAAATTATAAAATGTGATTAATTTATAACCTTATTTAGTCATTCAAATTCGATATTAAAATTAGAGAAGTTGTGATTTATAATGAACAATCAATGGAAATATCTAACATATGAACCATTAATATAATATCTATCGTTAAAAAAAATATAGCTAGCCGAACACCCGTGGACACCCGTGAAGTATATTTAAGTATTTAAAGTATTTTCTATATAGGCCAAATTTTTTTTTTTAATCTGTAGCAACGTGGTGCACGGTGATTGATAGAGCGAACTTAATATTAGAAATGATCGCAATTAAAATTTTTCGCCTTTCCATCTCACGTTTAAATGTGTGGAAAATAGCGTGATCACTTGTAAAATTCTGGAAATCTGTCCATTTTTCCACGCATGATTATGTACAATTATTTGACGAAGAAATCGATCGTAATCTTTCTTTCTTTTTTTTGTTTTTTATAGCATTTGCCATAGATTCAATAAAAAATATAATTTCTATGTTATTTCTACCGAAACATCTTGCGTTATTCTGACACGAATATTTTAGATGATTGGCAGTATAATTATTAACATTTTACATTTCCATTTGCAAGCGATCACGAAATTTTTCCCTGCGAAACTCGACGCGCGAATTGCTTATACAAGTAAAGATCAATGAAAACTGTTGACTGCTAGTTTGATGATTGATTTCTAAAATATGGCTCGCGAAGACGCTCACTTACCATATCCTTCGCCCTGAAGAAACAGTCGGAATGCCTCGCTTACTTTACCCGGTTGTTCTTCCAATACCATACCGCAATCCGATATCTAGAAGATGAGATACAATGGATTAGGCACTAAATGTAAAAGAATCTATCTTTGTCTCATTTTTTACTTTTAAAAACAATTACTTATACCTTTGTTAGGTTTAATAAAATGTCGGGCGACAGAAAAGCGTACTTACTTTCATCCAAGAGCTGTTTCTCGGATCTAAGCGTCCGTTTAACGTTACGGTATCGTCGACATGAGGGCTTAGAGCACCCGTGATATTCATTACTGGCACACTAAGCGTCAATCCTTCCTTCTTGCGCGTTGGGTCCAATTCCCTCGTTATATTCAAATCCGTGCGGCGGACATAACTGTCGATAAATAATGCGAGATTCGTTGGGTTTACACGACGCTCAAAGTAATTTTTGTATACTTGAACCAAATCATGATTCCGCTCTTCAGAGTCCTGCAAATATTGCATCAATATTAATATGTGTTTTTATAAATAAAATACTAGTGATCTAATTTTTAATATATATAGACAAACAGTAAAACCATAGCTATCTATTATTGTTATAATTTCACATAGAAAGAGAATTGTTTTTTTAACTTTTTATATATCGATTTAGTTATATTAAGAAAATTATCTTTATAAATATCAGTATATCTTAAAAAACATATTCTTTATATTTTAGTATTGATTTTACGGCATTTGATTTTTCTTCTCGACCTTATTTTCCTAATCGTTTATGTATGATGATAAAAATCTCGGATATTTTTTTTATAAAAAAAAATTACATAGATTATATGTATAGAATTAAATATTTAATGCAAAGGTCAAATTGATGTAAAGGTCGGCTGTTGTAATGTGACCAGAGGGTTAACTTTTTTTATTATTACGTCACTAGTCCATATTACGTGTACTGATCTTACGATTTGCACGCAAATGCACAATCAAAGTAACTCGAGTTTCCACTTCACTTATTACACATTCTGCGAACGATTTCAAAGTCTTGGCAGATCGAAGAGCACATTGTATGCTCACAATCCGGTTTCTTCGCGTCGCGATGGCGATAAAAACGACCGGCAAGACCCATCATTAGTGTCGGATGGAAAGGAAAGCAACGGAACAAAATGATGGGTGAAGTCAAGAAAGAGCAATAATGTTAGTCTGAAGACTTTGTTTGAAAATTATTGCCTTGTGCTTTTGAATAATTTTGATCTGATAAAGATAACAACTCAACTCTTGGTCATTTTTTTAATGACGTCATTTTTAAAATGAGCTCTAATTGCATCTACTATGTTAAAAGTCTTTTTTTCTTTTTTCTTTTGTAATAACAACGTGTTTAAAGGTGCATATCATGTGAAATAATTGATTTACATAATTGCATAATTTTTAATCGTTACACAAATTATTATCACGGTTATATAAAGTCGCATCTTATTCTGCAATATAATATCGTGAAATGATATCAACAATGTTATAAAGCTTTATTTAATTTAATTTAATTATTAAATTCTTGAAAATATGATTTAACTTTTATATTATTAAATTACTGAAAAATTGCACGAGTCACAATAAATGTGTCCTTTTTTGCAAAAAATCGATGCTTGCTATTATTTTCAAAGGTTATAGGTCGTCTTTGAACGCAATAATCTTTATGTTGTATAACGACGTAGCAAAACTGCCCGTGTAATCTCTAGTTTCTATGGAGACGTTCTGGCGAGTCTTTGGAAGCTTAAGCTCCGTCGTCGATAATTCATCTTGCGCTCGCGCATGAACGCTAACTCGGTTGACATTATTTTGCGCCTCGTAAGAGCCTGGCGGTTTATTAGCTCCATAGAGCATACTCCGTGAGATAATTTCGCTTGAAATATGATTAATTCTAGTAGAGGAAAGATAAGAGATGTTTATATCATCTATTATTACTTGCGCGAAAAAGTAGATTTCGCATTATATAAAAATTACAGCGAGAATCGCAATGAAAATTACGAGTTTAATATTATATTATATTAAATTCAATTTAATCAAATAAATTTAATTTAATAAAAGCTATGTACGCGCTTTGTTAAATTTTTGAATACTGTCTTACGATAATGTTAAATTACAATTACGATATATCTCGTTAAACCTAAAATTTTATTTATTGCTAAATCATAATCTAAAACCGTTGCAAATTAAAAATTATCTTATGTCCTTACCCTGCCAAAATGATGCCACATTAGATAATCGAGAACGCCCTGGGTCATGCCTTGTGATCTCAGGTGGCGCACATTCAACTTTTGATATCCCCACTCGATCCATCCTGCTTGCGTGGACACGCAGTTTATCAGGCACAGTGCGTGTACTTTCTCCGGATGGGTGAGTGCAAATCTTGCCAAAATATTGGCGCCGGCACCGACCCCGAAACCAATTACGGATTTTATGCCAAAATGGCCAAGAACGAAAAGCAGCTGTTCTGCTAGCTCTTCCATGGACGGATAAACATAACTGAAATATAAAGAGATCTCTCATTAAAAAAGTTATTTGCAACGTTTCGCTTTGATAACAGCGCTATATTATTCTCATACATTATAAATTAACGCCCTAACGGTATATGAAAGTAACTATCTGCATTGCAAATTTAGCTTTTGCGAAATGACGTCGTTGAAGAGATTGAATAAGTTAGTGAATACCCTCTCGTTTTTTGGCTTATATGCAATATACATCTCTTGTAATTTACAAGAGTTATAAATAAACTAAGAATTTTAAAAACTATCGAAATCTGATAAAATCTGACAAAAATTATGCCTGTACAAGTGCAGAAATTATGAAGTTTTATTATAAATTTTTTTTTACAAAAAACCGTAGTTGCTAATAATACTGGAAATTTGTTAATTAGAATTTCAAGTGACAAATATTAAAATAAACTCTAATTGTTTTTCTTCAGTATTAATTATATCAGCAAATTGTTGCTAATAATACCACAATATTTGTTTGCAAATTGTTGCTAATAATATCACAATATTTGTTTGCAAATCCGGCGAATAATGTAAATTTGACCACAAAATTTATTATTAGGAGCAATTACAATGTTGCTATGCATATTAATTAAATAATACAACATATTATTAGTCGGTAATTGTCGTTTTGTGCGACAAGTAAATATACGATCGTACATCAAATGGAAATCGCGAATCCCAGAGATATTGATATTTAAATTTTTGATACGCAACTTAACACTACAAAATTTTCGTATATAAAGTTGCATTGTAATTTAAATTATTTTATATATTAGATTCGTATAATTATATACTTGTAATAAATGAATAATACTTAAAAAATTTGTTATTATTAGGGCGCGGATGTTCGTGCACGATCCCGTGTCGCGCGCAGAGAACCGCTGCGTGCGAGTGAGATAGATGTATTGAATTCGGATGAATTGACAATCGGGTCTTCTCGAGAAATGCTACCTTAGCGAATACTCGACTCACTCGCACGCAGCGGTTCTCTGCGCGCGACACGGGATCGTGCACGAACATCCGCGCCCTAGTTATTATAGTTTATGTCTTAATTTTATCAATTATATATATCTTGACTTTATTTAGAGTAATAGATTAGAGAAAAGAATTACGCAACAATCAATATATCTAAAGCCGTAAAAATGTATAGGTAACGATTTTACGATAAAATATGAACATTAATATAAAGTAGTATAAAGCAATATATAGCAAAATATTGCTTTTATTAAATCGTAGAATTTTGCAGAGTTATAATGGAAGTAAACTAGCTGTCGGATTAAACTGATTATAAGATTAATTGAGATATTAATTTCATAATTTATTCGCGCTAATTAAGTTGATGTATCGTAAAACAACGTACATATATGCATTAAGAAGAGATTGAAGTTTAATTAAAGGCATTAAGCATATTCATTAAATTTCCTAACTATTAATTAGTTTGCTCTCTAAGATCTTTAGGAAGAAAAAGCAAAGAAAGTTTTATCGTGCAATAAAAATTAATATCTTCTTTGATTAGTCGGCGCTAACTTTAATTACAGAAGCCTAATGTTTTCTTAATTTCAAAGAAATAAAAGTAAAAGTAGAATTATTATAATTGTTTTGTATTTGTTACTTTAAAAAATTGACTCACTCTTCGGGTAGCGTCGACGCATTTTCCTCTTGTCCGGGTGCGTTTACGTGATATACGCAAAAGTTTTCGAGTAAAACACGCATATCAATGTAATTGAAGAACGCCTGGAAGCTCGAGATGTCTAGAAAAGTCATTTTTTTATTAGAAACATATCGCATATTGATGCATTAATAAATTATATATTTACTAAGCTTAGGATATTGTAGCAAAAGCAATTATTTGAAGTGATATATAATAATTGCAATTTAAATGTTGCATAGTTTTATGTCGTTTTAAATTCTGTAATTGTTAGATGCTCACAGTTAAGGCCTAGATCGTGATAAGTGAGAATAGCTGGTTTTGCTCGATTTCCTTGCACTGCTATCAGTAAACTCCCCTTGTCGGTCTCCACCCTTTCTTCCCGCACAGAGCTGTCGTCTCTGGAGAGATATCTCAGTGCCGGAAATTGCAGCTGAATATTCTTCAGCTCGATGTCGTCCATGCTATCGGAAGGCATCGTGCTGCGCATGAAAAGAAATCATTTAATTATTAGGTTGGTGAGCACGCAAAAATAAAAAAGAATCCGATATCCTTGTCATGAATAGACGGTAACTTGCGATGATCTAAAATTTCCGATGACATTTAATATAATTTTCGTTTCTCTTCACATCGCATAAATTATGACTGACTAACTGGTTAAACATAGCTTAAAACATACTCATCTTCTCCTATTTTCAAGTTAAATATTCTTGTCTATTGGAAAACCTAAATAATTCAAGTTTATATATATATATATACATATATATAAGCTTGAATTATATATATATATACACACATACATACTTGAAAATGTGGCATTTTTGCATATTTACTTGGAAACGTAACACTTTTGTGCTAAATGGCTTGTGATTTTTTCCTTTATTATTAAGCAAAGCATGTTTCTTCCATTAAAACGTTGAATATAAACGTTAATAATTTTACAGATCTTATGAACAGCATATTGCAACTTATATTTTGCAAAAAACAATATACATTTATTTTCTGCAGTCATGTTTTCAATTTGCAATCATGTTTATTTAAAGTTTGTTAGTAAAAACGTAAGAAATGTACGGAAAAATACTTCACGTACGTAAATATGCTTGATCATAGTCGTAAACACGTAATAATTTTTCCAAGATTTATTTTCTTAACTTTAACTGAAAAAGCTTATTTTTAAATCATATAAAATCCATATTTTTCAAAAATATAGATTATGCGCTTATGAATTCATTATTAATTTTTTACAATTTTATAACATTTTTTATTTTCAGCTTTTAAGATATAAATATAATTTTTTTATTGTGACGATAATATGTATCGTCATATTTATAATGCGCGAATATCAAAAATTATCTGGCACAATAATTTTATCGATTTTTAATATAAATTTTATATATTGTTAAAATTAATATTTAGTACTAAATGATTTATTATACAAATTTGACAGTGTATAGACTGTGTGAAAACTGTTCTTGTTTCACATAATAGAGCGCAGTATGCGTAAGATTGCTTGAATTGATGAATCAACTTTGCGTGTTATTGTAGAAAAAAGGAGACAATCAAAACAGATGAAATGTTCTGTTCATTACAATCTATTGGGTTTCATCGAACAATGTTTGCGTCTTCAATTTCGTCAATGAATAAGAGTAACAAAAGTTAACTCGAAATAATATATCATTAATTTTCGTGTCAATAATTACGTCACGTTGAAAACACTGAAATGTTTTGTATGTAATTCTGTCTCCTAGCTAACATCGCAATTATTCTATTCAAGGAAAAGAATTTTTCTGAATCTTCCACACATATTTTAAAAATTAACTCATTTTTTTCTAATATATTTAATAATTATTTTAAAACAAAATACACTATGTGAGAAAATACAATATCAGTTTTCACGGTTGAAGCAGAATTGACAGTGTTACTTATCTCACGAGAGAGTTAAGAAATAAGTAGATTATACGAAGTTTGCCAGCTTCTCTCATGCGTTGTGATGCATGCTTCTACTGTTGCAATTTCCATCGTGTCAACGTAGACGAGGTGACTGTCATACAGTCTTCGCGGAACTTACGCAAAATGTGTTTTATGTTATATTATACAAAGTCACCTGCCAGTGTCACGTAGACGATAAGTAACTCTTTTTATAACATCGATCTGCCACGCCCAATCGGTCGAAATGAGGTTGAACAAAACTTTCGAAGTTGCTCTTTGTCGTTTGTCACGTAGTGCATGCGTCACATACTTCAATTACACACAGATATTTATTATGGTAATCAATTTCGCTCGGAGTTAATTACTCATGATCCGACAACTCGGAAAATTAGAGGAAATGTGTTTACTCGTCTAGCATGCTGTTTGAAAAGTATATACTCAGTTTAAGATTTAAATGCCAGAAGCTAACTAACTACTCGTACAATTTGCCCCCAAATTGACAGTAATAATGTTTTAATAGTACTTTAAATACAATATTAACATTTGTTAATCTGTACATCAAATAATTCTATGCTTGAATTTTGTAGTAAATTTTGCAATAGCATATAATTATGTATGTGATTAGTGGATAATTATTAATTAATTATGATGGTTTAGAATATGATTGATTTAGATATCAATATGATATCTAAATGTTTTCAATTTTTAATTGACATATTTATTCGATTCTGTTACACTATATATATTCATGTTATTGTTTTCAAATTGATTATTTTGATTAATTAAAAAATACCGTTGAAATATTAACACTTTTTCTACGCGGAAATCCGGTTTATGCTATTTTTATGATTTCACTCTTATTTATTATTTTATTGATTTTATTATTTAAGGCACAGAGCACAGATAAATAACACATTATGTAAAGATGTTGGCAATCACGAGGAAAGGAGCAATATGAATCTCTTAGTAATCTATTAATAGTTTAATATCAGCTTGTAAGCTTCACATAAGCTAAATACACTTGAGCTTTAGAATTAGCCCATGATAAGTAGTATCCCCATGTTATTCTAAATGTATAATAGCGGTGATTACTTTAATCGTTAGAGTTACATTGACATTCCACCAGTTGTGGACTCGCGTAATGTTCGGAAGACCTACTTTGGTCTGTATCCCAGAGGATTCACGGCGCCAACCCAATTTCAGTAGAACGGTAAAATGTCAGGAACCTTCTTTGACCTTTCGTGCGCACGTATACAGGTTAACAAGAGAACTTTCATAAGATGAACGTCATCGTGCTGCAATTCTATAAAAGAAGTCGGTTTCTTTTGCCGCTGCCAGGTCACCAGAAGTCTTTTCGAGCTATTATTCAAAATTTTTTTCCACTTTACATAATCAGCGCGCGTGATATAACATATTACGTCATTTAGCCAAAACAGAAGTGTCTTTTTCGGCGTGTCTATTCAAACGTGCGCGACTCGCCGCAACATTTTCGTTATTAAATTTTTTATCTAATTGCTATCTGAGACAAATTGCACGCGCGCGTTTTTGCATGATAACACTGAATTATGCTACAATCGTTATTTTCTACTAGAGGCAGGATTTATTTGCAACATAAGGCATCACTTACGTTGTTGACAAAAGAATAATTTAAACTTTAAAGAAATTGTGATATATACAGGGTGTCCCATGGAAAGTTGCTGAAATCAATTAGCTGTCATTTTTAAACGCTCATAGAGAGCAAAAAAAATAAAATATTTTCTAGCAGAGGATATTTTGCAGTTTTATTTACATATAAACTAAAAACAATTGAAGATATTTTTATTATTAAATAAACATTTATAAAAAAATGCCAAATTTTGCTTATTTTAATGGTTTATATTTTCGAAATGCGCACCGTCAGAATTATAACAAAAAAAATTGTCATTTTTGGAAACTATAAAAAACTTTATGCAACAAAAGTTACAGTTACTGTTATAATTTTCGAAATCTATTTAATTTTTATTATAATTCTGACAGTGCGCGCATCAAAAATATATACCATTAAAATTAGCAATATTTAGCATATTTAATAAACGTTTATTTAATGATAAAAATATTGTCTTTAGATACGTTTTTTATACGTAAATAAAGCTGCAAATAAAGCTGTCTTTTGTTAGAAGATATTTTATTTTTCTTGCTCCCTATGTGCGTTTAAAAAATTGATAGCTAATTAGTTTCAGCAATTTCCCATGGGATACTTTGTGCGTATGTATATATTCACATTTTATACTCACGTAATTAAAATAAAATATTTTATAATTTAGTAAATTATATATATAACGTCTGTGTTTTTTAATTTAATGAAAGAGAAATTGTGTCTCTTCGTTTTCCTCATTTCTGCTTTTATAAGTGCGAAATGTGAAGTGACAGTAAAGAGGAGTACTTGTTTGTTTCCACGAATAGCTGTAAGTGGGAGAAATCGTTTCCATGGATTTACGCGTGCTTCGCAGGCGGCGTCGCAATGACTGGCGTCGACGATCGATGTTCGTAAAAGGAAATGTGTTGTCAGAAATGCATCATAAAATCAATTGCAAAACACTTCAGAGCTTTTGATTGACATAGATCTCAAATTAAATTGATTTTCAATCGTTCAAATGATAAATGACATTATAGCAGTCTTTATAAAGTCAATTTCACTTTATAATAATAAATTGCGTATACTTTTTCTATTATCGGAAAATAACTGATGCTTTTAATACGCCATATAACTTTTCTGAATAATTAAGCGTATTAATAAATTAATAAAGCGTAAAACAGATACGAAAAGTCAGTAGATTAATTTTAATTTATTTTAGTTTAATTTTAGTTTTACGGTTTATTGATCAGTAGATTAATAAAGCGTATAACAGATACGAAAAATCTGAAAGCAATAGTGAAACTTAAATTTAAAAAATCTATCCTTTTTTAGATATTACGAAGAAAACTAAATATATGACAATTTTAATTCAGTTTTTATTTTTTAGCTTACAAGTCTATATTTTATATAATAAGTAGATTCGTTAATTTATGAGACATAGTAAGATCATAATTATATGTATTTACGAGAGGGATATCATGTGTGGAAGTGTTTAACTAGTTTTGTTGCTATTAGAACTTTCCAATATTAGTGTATATACGTTAATTTCATTCGAAGACATGAAGCTATGATCGATAACCAATTAGATCAAGTTATCTCGCGATAAGTAGATAACACCGTAAACTCGGATCACGATCTCATTGATGTGAACATAATGGCTTTGCAAGAAGCATTGTTCCTGATTCTCTTCGAGCGCTGACATAGACGCGCTAGAAACATTGTTATCTCGAAAAGTGTCCTGTGACTAGCAAGCGGCGCGAAGTAGGAGAGCACAAAACCGAATACAGAAATAGAGTTTACAAAGTGCAACAATAGATGTGGGAACTAAAGACGGGGCGTACAATGAAAAATTTAGTCGAGATTACATTTTACTCGGCAGACGTAAATGAGAAAAGATATGTACTTTTTGCATCTCGTATACTCGGCGCACGTTGCACT